ATATTAGTGGTTTATTTACCAGGAGATGATTATTCTATGTGGATATGGTCGCCCTATACAATGTGACAGTAAAACAGAAGTCTACAATTTCAAAAATTGTGAGCGCAAGTGTTTATTACTCTATACCAACTTGAATTTGACCCTGTCAAAATAAAGTTAGGAATCAAGGAAGGTAAGAAAAAGCAACAATATTGAGACTATTTTTTATTTTGTTATAAAAACAACTGAAGTCCTCTTCTCTATAGAGTGAAAAAAGCACCTTTTGATTATGGACTTGGTTGGTCAGTTGCACAGTAAAAAACAACTGACCTTATTCCACTCCCCTTAGTCACACACAAGAACTTTAAACCGGTGACCCATCCAATTACTTTTACAATCACGTCAGATATTTCCAGGGACATCCACTTTGACTGTAGAAACACTTTAGCAAATAGGAGCTTCACTGGCCAGTGTAACAAATGGACATGGGTGGCCTCGAAAACCTTGCATCTCTTAAGTTGAAGAATCACTGCTTGTATGCTGGCTGTTTGACAGTAAAATAACACGCAGGCTTATGGCCACTTGTGTATGAAAAGCTGTTTGAAAAATCAGTAGATAAAAGTTTTTGAGAGTTCAGCTCTTACTATTCAAAATAATCCATTAACTTCAATTAGCATTCAATTCCAGAAATGTTGAATATTTGATGTATTAAATTACTCTGTAAGTGCTACATAGAACTAGTCCATGCATGACGTCCTTGGTGGCAATATATGGAAAAAAGGAAAACGCATAGACTATTTACATCATTTTAAATATAGTGACATTTCTCTGAACTAACTTAACGGTGACATTTAAATCAATCGTTCATCAAGGTCAAAAAGTTTTAAACCTGAGAGTCAAAGACCGTTAGTATTTAGATTAAGTTATAAATAAATAATCAGGCCCTTCGCACTACATATGACGGCAATATGGCACACTCACACGCTGAAGAGGAAAATGCTGTTGGCTGCTTTGTTCCTATTGTCCGGATGTGAGAGGAAGCAGACCATAACCTGACTCCTCACCACCAGGCTACTTGATCCGAGAGCCAAGACCCACTTTTTCCACTCCATCTCTAAACCTACGAAACAATTCAGTGTGTGGGTGGTGAGGACACAAAGTTCCTGTCTGCCCTCACATCTACAGTAGCAGTCACTTACCAACTAAATTACATACGAAAATAAATGAAACATCCTCTGTCATTAATTTACTTCTAACACGATCCTGCTTTTATATTCTAAGTTTCATTGGGAAAGGATCATTCACTCGTTCACAGCTCCCTATATAATCAACATTCAATAGTTAAAGTGAGCAGTAAGTTTCCATTTTTAAAACTTTTAGAAAAATTTGCATTTGACAGGTGTAATGTTGCACATGTGTAAAAAAGTCTGTGCATCTTTGAGATGTGACGCATTGCATTGTGGGGATGTTAGCAGGAAGTCCATGCCATGGACACTACTTTTTTCATTCCATAGGCATCTTTCACAGCAGACAAAGCATCTTTTGTGAAAGAGGCCTACTGTGGGACTTGTTGATAGGACTATAAAGGGCATACATTTCACAGTTCACAAGGCTTAACCACAAGTTTTAAAATCCTGGAAATTTAAAAAAAAATTGGGTTGCGATCCACGTCCCTTTACGTGCTTCTCAATCACTTCTGCCTTGAAGTCAGCCCCCGGACCCGCAGGCTACCAGCTTTGCAGTAGCTAACGTATGTAAAAAGTCCTCTTTCCTCCTCCCAACGTTAGTTGGTATGGAAATCCATATTTCACACAAATGCCTAACACATTTAAAAAGTAATTTATACAGTCCTCGCTGCAGCTAGTAGTTGCTGCTGTTAGTTACCATAGACTGTATATAGGAAGTGGATGTAGTCACCATGATGTCACCCATTGGTGGACTACCATTTTAAAGCCTTGAGTTTGGCATTTTGGTCGTCACCATCTTGGTTATAGGCCGTCGCCATCTTGTTTTTTTGGAACCAGATGTGACGAACGATGGTAGCGCAAAGTACAAATGAACACTGAATTTGACACTTTTAAGTGACCAAAATGTTACAATTAACTCCTGTGAACTGACAACACACTGTGAAAGGGTTAAAGTTCCTAGACAAATACCAGGACGACTCCAAGACCAAACAGCCACCTGTCAATCACAAGGTAGCCACGCCCTAAAGCATACCCTGCGTTGTCGTAGATATTACTCTAAACGGGACCAATATTTATAAAATGTACATAGTGGTCTATTGCAGAAGACTCGAAACTAGCATTTGATACTGTAAACTCATGTTTACAGTATCAAACAGTTATATGTTATATGTTATATGTTAGTTTTTGTAAGAGATCACAGAGTGCAGGTTTGCTGTACACAATAACATTGGTATTACTATTCACACATTTCGGTCAATTATATTGTATTGTATATCACTGATATGATTTATGATGCAGCAGGTTTATGTGGGTATTGTCCTGTTTTATAAAATCAGTGTTTATTTGTAAGAGAGAGCTTTTGGTCTCCAAAAGTACAGTTCAAAACATATAAGCTGACAAAAATGCTTGTAAGGTTTCTTTTTTCCTGGTCAGCCAAATAGCTTGTAAAAGACTCCTGAATTGTTGGTGATTTGTTGAGGATATTCTTGATCCTCTTATCTTCCCCTGACCAGACGATGACCAACAAATGTGACACATTTTCAACCAAAATTGAAGTCACTGCCTTTCACTCTTAATATTCGTCATGTATTATATGGATATTCCCTCTGAATGAACTGCAGACTGTTTTGTTAAACCAGCGCCATCTACACTTAAGTGTAACGTAAATATTATAGAGTTCTCCCATTGCGCAGCAGCTGTCATCTCTGAACCCGAGCAGAGAGCGTACTTTGTCTCTTCAACCTTGTGTACTGAAATATTCAAAAGCTCCAAGTTTATGAGACAGTTGCTGCCATCTGTGCCCCATCGTTCAGTCCTCCCATCATGGCTGAACATAAGGCCAACATCAGCACAGATATGTGTGAGAATACTCAATACTCTGTATTGCAAATCTCAATATCGCCTGAATACCATAAACAACACTCTTCAATTGCTCACATGCACAGCAACCCACGCAAAATTCTGCTACTGCAGAGACAAAATTTCCATATCCATGAGAGAGGAAAGGAAAAGAGGAAACATTTACACAGGACTGCTTCCAGACGGTTCAAGAGATCGTTTCTCTTAGGTGTCTTTTTTTACAATGTCATTGTGGAGCAAGCAAGCTCCTGTGAGCTTTACAAATTTCTCATTAAATGAGAGATTTCCTGAGACAAAAAAGCAAAGGAGGAAGGGTGCAATCAGTCCAGGTTTGTTCGAGACAACATCACTTCCTTCCTTAGCGTTAAGAGAGTGTCAGAGCGAGACATTCAGATGTGGTTTTCATCCAGCTCTTTCCCAGGACAGTAATGCTGTGCCATTCCAATGGTGTCATTCAAAGCAGCTGCCTTTCTCAGCAATAAACTGAACGCCTTGCCTAAGCAATTCAAACCGCCTCCACAGATTGCGATACAGTCAACAAAGAACTTATCTTCCAAGTGAAACTATTCATCGATGAATGTGTTTGTGTGCCAAAAGTAGAAGGCAGTTTGAAAAGACCCCAGTTACACCTGAATGGCTACTTCTTCTTTATTGACTATTGTTCCTGTTTCACATTTGAATTCACCTGTTTCCTAACTGCCACTGCCAGTTAAGTTCTACTTTTAAAACATTTCTGAGTATTGACATTCATGTGCGCGGTGGATTAGCAAAATGACTGTAAATATATGCATTTGAGATGGCTTTGATGCTTTGAAGAAAGATGAAAAACCTAAAACTGACATCTGCCATTAGGTAACCCAACACAACTTTGTTTTGTGTGGGTCAGTAACCCATCAGCAAAAAAAGAAAAAAAACCCAGCCCTGTTCGTTTCCCGCACAGAGAATGAGCTCATTAGTCCATGACTGATGTCAAAGAAACAAACACAAAATATGTTGTTTTATCGCTTATCTTCAAAGACACACTTAGCTCATAACTGCAGCACAAAGGGCCTTAAAATGCTGTTCATACAACCATATTTGTACAACACCACTGTTACTTCAACCATGCTGATAGAAATACACTTGTCTTTTTAAGGCACTGTGCATAGCGATGTAAACAATAGAAAACCGCACAATGTGTCAACAGCTTTAAATGGCACATGGTTTCTTCAAAATATCACTGTTGTAGAGGAAATGTGTGTACAACCAGACAGTTTAAAAGAAAATGTAAAAAAGACAGAATCTTTGGATCTAAATAAGGGTTTGACCGTTGCTAAGACCAGACATGAAATATTTATATTTATTTAATTTCAACAAAGTGTGATTCATAGATCCTGTATATATGACCCAATAAGGCAAGAGTTTAGTTGTTGATAATATTTATACATCAACTCTACACTAAAGAATCTGCATTGCATTATTCAGTATATAAACTGAAATGTGAAGGCCTGTATCCCCAGTTTGTTTGACCAGCAAAAGCCTGGAGGAATTACAGATACATCAGCGTCTGTCTGAAGAACACTGATGTGGTCCCTGGAAGACACACAGCACTGGAATGTGTGTGTGTGAATTTGTGTACAGTCCTTTGCGGAAGGGAGGGGGTCGTCCTTCCATGAAGTTAGTCAGTGTTGTTTTGGCCTGTGTTTACGGAGCCTGCTGTACGCGTTCAAGTGAGAACAATGGGGAGGAGGCTTCCAAAATGGCGACATAAATCACAGTGTCAACCAGGCAACGAAAAAGCGACTGAATGCTGCTAAAACCTCTTTCGAATCAGGTGTACGGTGGCACAAAACGAGAAAGCGTGTTGGGTGCTGTGTGTTGGAGTGCTTTGTTGAAGGGGCCAGGCTGCATGTTTTTGAAAGCAGATTAAAGATCATGACAGGAAGGGCCAGGTTTAGGGAAACAGGAAAACTGATGCAAGGAAGTGGACTACGTCACCAGCCTGCCCACCACAGTCTGTGCTAAAAGTAGAATCCAGAACCCAGCACAAGTATGGAGTCTTTGCTCAAGTCACCAATGAAACTTGTACTTCTGACAGGTACGTGAACTTAGCGATCCTCTAGCACGGCAGGTGTCTTATAGTGGGACAGTGATGGATGTGTCTGTATTCATGGGGTCTTCATGTTGGCTGGGTTTGGGTTTGGGCTATGTGATGTAGCAGCAATAGAGCTTAATATACCATTTATTGGTTTGTTTTATGATTACCTAACAACAGATTGTTTTGTTACATAAACTGTATTTAAAACGTATACATAATGTGGTTTAATTTATTATTTCAGTGGATACCGTGTGGTTATTCGTAGCAGGTAAACCAGAAAGCCACAAAAAATGCCATTTTTACTAGAACCACGCTTGTGAAAAGAAGCAGCAGTTGCATCACAAAAGGATTTGGACAATTTCTTTCATGGTATAAGTAAAACGTACACACTCTTGTGTCTGGTGTTTGTGTCTTCGCAGCATGGCTCTCCAGTCTCATGGACCCATGCAGCCTCTCTAACATTTGCAATTCTTGTCACCAACTTGCAACATGCAAGGCCCTGAACGGATCAAACGACGCCTGCTTCTGCAACCGCGGATATACTGGAGATGGAACTACATTTTGCAATGGTGAATATAAACAGACAAAGCCACCCGTGTGTGACTGAGTATTTGCTGTGATTCAAAAGTACAACCTTGTGTGGAGCCGTCATGGAAGCCTTGACTATTTTTAGGAATAGCCCTTGTTGTTTGTGGCTTCTCAAAATAAGCAGACAGAAGCATGAGGCCAACATTCGTATACATTAATTTAACATTTTTAGAACACGGTGGTTGACTGTGCAGTGCAAAATAAGTTGGATGTATGCAGTTGAAAACATCAGTCACTAGTTGTGTTAAAGCTTCTTAAGATCATTGTTTATTTAAATGGGATACACATAAACACGCTTAAAACGTTAACTGTGGTCATTTGATCAACGCAAATCAGGATGTTTTGTGTTGTATTGCTCTTTTGCAAATTGAGGGTAAGCCCCCAAAAATCTAAAAAGACAGCATGTTGCTTGACTTAGTCCACAGACATAGAAGGGATTTATCCTACTTTTTAACATGCAAAGAAACTTCATTTGTTTTTGTAAAATGTTGCTTTTAATTCTTGTGAGTGAGCTGAATTTCCATTTCAATATGTGCAGGCACCATGTGGGGTTTTCTGTCCACCGTACCCTCTTTGAGATGCTTTTTATTTGTTATTCGTCTTCCCCACTAGCTACAAAGCAGACGAAACATTGCAATGTAAAAAGATATCCCCGCGACAGAGCTCTATTAGTAACATTTTTAATGGCCAGCGTTGTCTCAGTCAGCATTGTTACTCCTGTTTTGTTTCTGGGCTGTTTAGAATTCCTGAAGCCCTTTTGGTTTCCTGACCAAACCTGATCACAATCACAGTGCAGCTTACATATTTCAAGGGCCAAAAGTAAATCAAACTGTGAGTAATACAAACACTGTGGCGAGTGATTTGAAAACAAAAAGGCACAATGCGGTTCAAGGTTAATGGAGTCCTTATGCAGTAGCAGATTTAAAAACAATTCTGTTCATTTGGTGTGTGAGTTCATTTAATGCAAAAACAATCAGGGAATATTGTTAGTAGTTCGATTGTTAGTAAAATGTCACAGTTTGTGCCATGAATTAGTTCAGGCTACATTACTTTTTTGTGTGTAATGACTATAAAAGTTGAAAAGAATGCCAAAAAGTAATTTATAGATTTGATAATCTGATCCATTCCGTTTTTTTTTAAACTTTTTTTCTCAAAAACAAAGTGACAAAAGCACTCTCTACTGTGTACAGATAGCACAAAGACATCAAAGTGAATCATACAATATGTGGATACAGTGTTTATGCAGCAGTGACAGCTCAAGTGTCCCGTGTGTTATGGAGGTATTTCCCTTTTGAATACAGCCGCCTCTCTCATCAGAGCACAGGATTTCCTTTACCGGACAGCTTTTGTGCAAAAGGTACAGAGGAGAGGAAGAGCAAAGCGTCCATCATAGACAAGTTAAAACATCAGCGGAAAGTCTTCCCAGGTCATTTCTAATAAACTGAGCGAGCAGAGACGGTCTGTGCGCTTGAGAGTAAAGCTGGAACAGCACTTTCTGTAATGTGTGGGCCAATACAGTATCAGCAACAAACTGTTCTGTGTCTGGTGCTTTCTAAACGTGGGCAGCAAAGATACAATATTTCAAGTGATTTGACTTTCTCAAAATCAAACAAAGGCACATAACTGCTCAGCAATCACAAATGTCAACAATACAAATTGCATGGAAATTAGAGCCAGGCAAGGCTTTAATCAAGGCTAGACTAAGTTAGTGGAGCCTGAGACAAGACCACAACGGAGCCTCGTCAAGTTCAAACACCAGGATCAGGATCAAATCAATGTGTTTTCAATAGTAATCTAAATGTGGAGGTTGAATGAAGTCAATATTTTTGTGAACATGCACTCAAAGCCCCCGCCGAAAAAAAGATTAAATATGCTGCTATGGTGATTGTCTGGGGTTAGTTTCCCTCCAGAAATAATCCGACCAAATCATAATTTCTTAGTTGATGGCGAAAGGCAACAGAAGTTTCAGCACTCACTACGGTTTCTGTGTTTGGAAAACAGATGTTCATGTTAAAAAAAAAGCTGCCACCACGTTCCCCCCCGTCATGCTAATTCTGCTGTTTGTACAGTTATCCTTTTTCCTCGAGCAGAGATCATTTACTGCACAATTTTATGTTGAACACAAAGCCATAACATCAGCTTTTGCCAGAGCTCTCTGATGGTCCGGCCATTTTGCATAATGCTCCGCAGTCAAAGAAGAAAATTCATTGTTGAAATAGCAGAGCAGAAATTTCTATATTGTTCTGCAATGAGCAAAAAGCTAATTCTGCCACAAAACTAGTAGCTTTTTGTGTGAGGATCGACATAATAATAATAGCAATATTTAGCTTTGTTTGTCTCCTTGGGGGAATTTGTTTATTTTTAGTTCTTGTTTTCTTGATTTACGAACACACATCAAATGTGGAAAAATGTCAAAGGCACCTCAGCAGTGCCCAGGGGGTGAACTGGCACCTCTCCAGCTACCAGTCCACACTCTGTACCTGGTATTACCGGTTATCCTCCAGCTCCCTAGCCAAGTCCCTACGGACTGAGCTACCGCACTGCTGCCCCCAAGCCACTTTTGATAAACTTGCACTGATGCTTTGTCATTACTCAACTACAATTATCTCCAGATATCTCCATCCGAAACTTCCAGAAGAGTCGATTGCAGCGCGTCGGGGCATTCCTCTAGAGTACGTTGAAAGGCCTTATGGGAAAATGTAGCAGAAGGAGGGCTGAGACACGGTAGACTGAACAAAAGCAAAAAATTAACTATTACAGTAGAATTAATTGAAGAGCATTAAACATTGAACATTATTAATATAGTGTCCAAGGATGATGAAATATTGTTGCCCAAATAAAGGGTTAGATAAACAAGAGTTTTAACTTCCTGAATTATAGATTTTTTGTAGATCTAAATATGTATCATACATTTGTATTTGAGCCAAGAATGAGAATAGGCTGAAGTAGTCTGAGCCTGTGGTCATACGCCTGCTGATCAGTGACATCGTCGGGGCAAATCACTGCAACATTAAAGCATTTCATTTTTCTCTTTTTTCGCTCATCCAATTTATTTCTTGAGCCTTTTATTTTTATTTTCTCCAGCATCTAACCCAGTTTACCATCTATCCTGACTACAGATGACAATGAGTGCCAGAATGTGACTAATATCTGCGGGGACAGGGGGAGCTGCACCAACACAGCGGGCAGCTACTACTGTACATGTGTCTCTGGATACACATCAACAGGACTGGCCGAGTTCCAGCCCAACGATGGCACCGAATGCATCGGTAATGTACGATTCACTGGCTCGGTACTTTAAAACGCAGAGAAATTATAGTTTTGGTCACGTACACACATACTGACAGAGGACCTCATGTATATGTGGGAAGGCAGTTACCACACAGCTGCGAGGGCTTCAGGATTGTGTGCGAACTGTTTCCTCTTTCACTGTACTGAGGAGGATAAACGTGTTGGAGCTGATTTTTCCCCCCTCGGCCTTTCACTTCCTTCCCATCTGCTATTCTGAGCAACCACCCGAGATCTTTTGCTCCATTTGCAGAAGAAGAAGAACACCTTCATCACATGTTGTGGGACAAAGTATCCATGCAGATATCCAACTGGGTGACGGACATCATTTAATGCAGTGATAAAGCTGATTTACGAATATTCAGAAGTGTAATGCAGTGTATACAGTGTATTAAGTGTCATGAATGGAACTATTTATGCCACAATCTTTATTTGTGTGGAGGTAGAACATTAACTTTACTTCAATTCAAGCATCACTTTTACACATTTGTGAGGTGGACACATTGTAAAGACATAAATAAATGTGTCTGTACGTATTAGTTGTTTATATTATGCTATGTTATGTTGTGAGAGTGACTTTAATCATTACGTGTTGATCTTTAATTGGAGCTGAACTCTTTATTTGCACCTTTCAGATATCGATGAATGCAAGTCAGGACAGGTGTGTGGACCAAACTCACACTGCCACAATACGAATGGATCTTTCTATTGCACCTGTCAGCGTGATTACATCCCAACTTCAGGCACTAAGCACTTTCATCCGGAGAAAGGTGTAAGATGTAAAGGTCGGTATGAGGATGGAAGAGCTCACCTGCACACACACACACACACACACTCACTCCCGCACTGGTACTTTCACCCAAGGACATACATTTTTCTTCATCTCTTTTTTCTCTCTTTCTCTGTCACACATGCACACACAAAACAGAGCAGAATTACATTTTTGTTGAAGAATCCATTATGCAATACATCAAGTTAACGGTGCAATCGTAAATGTGCTGATGTTTTAAGCTACCTTGATCACAAAGTGAGCCATCTGATGTTACGTCTGTGCAGGTTTTATGTAATTCAGACTTTGGTGTATCATGCGTTACCCTGGTGAAATATTGGGAATAAATTCAGCAATCAAAGAGATGCCTAAGGTAACTGTTGTTTTTTCAGACCATCCCCAAAAATACTGCCATGACAACATCGGGTGCATCACACAGACCGTCAACAAAACACTCGAATATGTAAGTACCCCTCTTCAGGAATTCAGCCAAGTATGGCAAAATAGATATGATGACACTGCCCTCTGTTGGGGAGAAACACGATGAACATGAAATGAAACAGGCTGACACAATATGTTACAGTTACAAACGCTCAATCCCAATGCCCCCCCCCCCTAACGCCTTAAACCCTGAACCCTTGAAATGGTGTGAATACCAATGGGACAGCACTTTGCTGCACCATATCACGTTACTATGACAATGTCAAAAAATATGATGTACAATTGTCGGTATTTATTTTAGACTTTTTACTCCCTGATTTGAACATCTTCCAGGCTTTTTCATCACTAGATGGGAGGTGATTTCAAATAATTTATTTACTTGTTTTTGTCAAAACAGCTTCAATAACAAAATTAAATGTTTGACAAATAAATCTGTGTAATATAATATCTGCTTCCATTCCTCTGAGTTCATGTGTTTTTATGTTCCATATTTAATCATTCATTTTTCTGAGTAAATGTAATTTGCCAGGCTGAACACCCGCATGCCGTTCTCTTTGTTTACCTTTTTTTTTTTACGTCTTCGGCTTCCACTGGTAACCCCGTGTTTATTGTCACATTGCTATGAATTGTGGGAAATTCCCTTGGGCAAAGTCTGCAGAAATGCGGACTTAAGGAAAGTGTTCACAAAGGGCTCAAAATGTCTGCGAGAGAGCCCTCAGACACTCGATGATCTGACAGCGGGACAATCCTGAACTAATTGTGGAGACCGGGGATGGACATTGGACACCTGCAGAATAGCTGCACTGTGAATGTATGTGTCAGTGGGAATTTCAGGCCTTGTTTTATGGTTTGGGTTTTAACTAGAGTATATAATGTTTTCTGAAGCATATGTCTGCGTGTCATCATGCATGCTCTTTTCTCCAGGATGGTCCTTTTGGCTACTGGAGAAGGGAAGGGTTTAAAATATCTAACTCTGGTTTATTGACAACTAACAAACTGAACAAACTAAATGTTCAGCTCAGTCCACAGATGTTTACAATGGAAAACAAATATTAAAGTGTGAAAATGATATGCCACTTTTATTTTATTTAACAGAAACAAACATACATGTTAAAAGAGCAGCTGAAAAAAAACTGCACCTTTGATCTATAGGTGGCAACATCTGTTCTGAGAATGACCAACCAGCTCCTCCCTGTGGGGAATAGCCAACTTGCTAAATATGTACAATATATGCACTTGAGTTTGAGTTTGGGTGAGCTATATACCAGTTCCATTTAAATAAGAAGAAAGCTGTGATCAGTGATGGACATTTTAAAGTCTGTGTCCAACAAAAATACATCAATACTTTTTAATAAACCATGAAGGACTGGATGTAACATGTTGCAAATACTCTTACTCATTCACTTTTCCATCCATCCCAGATGAGCAACCTCACGGAGCCCCAGAGTCTGCTGAAGGAAATTGCCAAGCAGACGTCCGGCGAACTCACCTCAGTGGAAGTGATCACATATGTTGAGGCCTTGTGTCGATCCGCATCAACACTGGCTGCCCAAGAAAAGGATTACACTGTCAAACCATCCGTCATCAACTCAACTCTTACAGTAATCTTTGTTTACCATTCTTGCTTCTCAATCAACATTTGTGCTGTGCAGTTCTGAGAAAGAAAAGTTCGACACTTCAGTACTTTTGAGACGGCAACAGAGGCAAACCTAGATAAACATACTGTTCTTAACCATGATTAAAAAACACATCGCATGCTAAACTATCACACACATGTCACTCTGATGAATCTGCTTTTCATCAGAAATTAGTGAAAGCAGTAAACAACTTGGTGGAGAAGGATGAACTGGTGGCTTGGAGCCGAATGAAAGAAGAGCGTCGGGAACATACCATCACCAAGCTGTTACATACTGTTGAAGAAAGTGCTCTGACTCTGGCTAACAACTACAAAACTCCAGCTGAGCTCGAAATCAAAGCCACAGAAATGGGTGAGATAATTATTAACACAGAGCGCTCTCATAGACACTCCAATTATATTAAATTGTCCTGCCATTTATTACCACCTGGGTGCAGAAAAGTGAGGTTTTGGATAATTGTCATTTTCGTACTATAATTTCTTTAATATCTGTCTTTTTTTTCTCCTCAACCACAGAACTGAAGCTCTTTACCTTTGATGCTCGTCACATAAAAGTCAAACTGTCTGCGTCAATGGGAGGTGATCATATAAATTTAACTCCAAAACTGAGACCAGAGGACGACAGGAATGGTAAAGTAGCTTAGTTTGCATGTTTAAAGGATGGAAGGATATATGACTATATATGCATGCTTGGGTATACAGGGAGTACTGTTTTGCTATGTGTTGCTATATGCCACATATGTTGTACACAAAAGCTAAATTAAGTCATCATATTCTCTTTTTTGTTTTCTGCTTGCCTTCGGGTGCATATGTCAGAATTCGCTCCAATAAAATCATCTGAGCAAATATCAAAATATCATCTCAAAATATGTACGTCTACCTTGTCCTTATGGCAACAGTTACACATGCAGCATGCAAGACACAACACTTCTTTATCAACTCCTGCTAATATTCAAAAAGGAGCATTAATTCCTGTCTCGGTAGCCTGTTACATGATTTTATAGGACATTCACGTTACTGTCAGTAAATTGGTTGAATATACACATTGAACTCTACACACTCGGTCAGATCATAAAGCTGATTACATATGATATTTCCAAATAGCTTTCTGCTCTGCGTGATCTAAGACAACGTTTTAATTGACCGGCAAAGATTGATCAAAAATACAGTAAGTCTGACTCTCTCCTGTCTGTGTTAAAAAAAAAAAAAAAAAAATGTTGTCCATCAGGAAGTGTGTCAGTGGTGTTTGTGCGATACGACAGCATCGGTGGCATCCTGAAGCCGAGCAGCGACCCGGGTGTCACCGACTACTCTCGCTATGCTGAGACTGGGGAAATCACTGTCAACTCCCAAGTCATCGCGGCAGCCGTCAAACCTGCTGACGTTTACCAACTTGACCATGTCACCTTCACTCTGAGACACAACGAGGTAAAGACTCTACAGAGTGCTGAGGCTGCCTACATTGTATTCCACCGCTGCACTCTTAGTGTATACCTTCCAAATATGTGCCGCTTCTGAGTGGCAGTGTTTCTGTTTTAAACACTTTTGGACCCAGTTATACAGTTGTTGCATGATGCATCTTTGTTATTCCTTATCCAGTCTATTATTGACTTGAAGTAGTATTATTCTCATTAAAAATATGTCTTTCTATTATTTGACAAATCTGAAGGCAATCTACATGCAGGCTTTCTTCACTTTCCTGCTGCCTTAAACCCGCTGCTACCTTTTATGTCATATACGTTACATTTATCAACATTATAGTAGCTCCCAATTGGATCTTGTTCGGTTTAAAACATCAACATCCCATCATATATATCCTTGTCAAACTGGAGAACATGCTTGCGTTCTCTTTTGCTGTGAAGAGCAGCTACCTTATTCCCACACTGACTCTCGCAGTAACTTGATAACTGCCAGAGTTTCCATTAAAGTCAAATTCAAACAAACTCACCCGGGAGGAATAGTTGGTGCTTTGTGTCAGGTTTTTAGGAAATTTTAATATATTTCTTCCAATGACCTCTCAGTTAAGGCGAAATTGAAGAAGAAAGGTGAATAGATGATGGAGGAAAGCGGAGTAATGAGGGAAATAACCCTAAAAGTTAATGTACTGGTATTTTTTCTTTTAAGATAATTAAAATGTATGAGAAAGTGAAATCATTATTTTTGTTGGACCCTTGAGGCTTACGCCTAACAAAGGAGGTGATGATTTATGTTGAGCAATGAAAATTTTCTGTAAATTGCCTTTAAAGAGCAACAATCAATAATTCGGGCTCCATTTTCCTGCGGATTCTGTCTCCTTGTGGTATTTTTTCTTTCCTGCTTCCACCTGTTCTTGTGACACACTGCGCATATTCATTTGATTGAAAAATGAAGGGATTTAAGTAAATTACTAATTGTTAAACAAAAAAATATGAACGCTACACCAACTGGTCTGAATACAAATCTAATCTAAACATAGTAAAGATTAAGAGAATAGAACTCAACCTGAAAATACTAAAACTAAACTACGTTTGCATTTTTTGTTATTTATTCATGATAGTGTTGTTTTTTTACAACAGCAAATGTAGTTGTTATGTGGATCATTGTAATTCAACTCAAATTGAACAATTTATGGAAATATGTTGACCTCTGCTTTCAAAATATTCATGTGAATTCTTAATGAAAATCTGGACTCGTGTACATCCCAATGTTATTGCTTTCAAAATCACAGTGAGCTGCAGCACACATGACTGCACGTAACTATCTGCCCCTGTGTCGCTTTGAGCCAAAGTCATGCATGATAAAGATATTACATTATATTATTCTAATGATATGTCAAACAATTTTCAAGACCATAAGAATAGTACAAAAAAGACGAGACAAACAAAGCAATAAAAAAATTAAATAAAAATTGAGATTAAAGTAACCTTTTTAAATATCATGTCTGATGCACTCAAACTGCACTGGATGTACAGTAATTCATTTTAAGGATCAGTCTGTTTTTAATCCCCCGTTATGGTATCAAGGAGCAGAACAAAAAGGAATAGAAACGGCAGCATGAACAGTTATCAGCGTCTTTGTTCCTCTCTGTCCCCTAAAGCCCGTTGACACTGAAGCTGATGTGACCACGTGTGCTTTCTGGGAGTACGAGCTCGACAGCCTGCGGGGCCACTGGGCCACTCGTGGCTGCAAGACCGTCCACGTCAACAGCAATGCAACCACCTGCTCCTGCAATCACCTCACACACTTTGCCATCCTCATGTCCTCTGGGCGAGCCAAAGTGAGTGATCATACATTCAAAATACAACTGTGTTTTCTATTTATTTATAATTTTATAAATACATTTTATAAAATAATTTAATAAATAAATACATTTCTCCACTGCTGCTTTACATTATTTATCAAAATGATTTGAGGAAAAACGGTTGATCGTGCAGAGGATAAGAATGTTCTCGGTCCATAATCTTTCAGTTCATCTGGAAAATTCTAAATATTTGTTGTTTTATGAAACACTCTTTAAATGTCTTTGTGTCCTTATTCTCCACCAAGACAAGTTTTTGAACACCAGTATTTTGTGTTGAAGGTGCTGATTGTCAACAAAATTGTACCGGCTTTTAATAATGAATTAAAACAACTTATTTCTATATTTTATTATATACCAAGACTTCCAAGTATTCATTTCCACTCAAGATAACATTCTTGATAAGTTGCAAGACACCGTTTCGTGCAACACAAAAAGTTCAAATCAAAACCAATGAAACTCTGTTGGGCTTAGCTGCTCCTAAAGGCAATGTGACTCACTGTACATATTTAAAAAAAGTAATGTCAGAGATATCCACCCACACCCTTTAAAGATACACTCCCTGTTGTTTTATAGCACTCAACAGTGCCCTCAAATGTTCTGTCGGGATGTCGGAGCACTGCTTTAACAAAACCAGAGAGTGTATTTATACATGAAGAATTCTTTAGTCAAAAGAAATATTTTTAATTAAGTTAATTAAAATGAACTTTTTTATGACTCTTTTTCTGTAACATATCATCTGACACAGCAGCACCAGAACAAAGTATGTCTGCAACCCAACATATTAGTGTAACTCCAGCCTACACCCACCCGTGTTATATATCGAATGACTCCAACCAGAAAACAAGAAATTACAACTTCAGCCTACCATGAAACCGTGAATGAAACGCCTTCCCCTTTCCATTTGCTTCTCAGCTGGTGGCCCACTACAACATCCTGACCCGGATCACCCAGCTGGGGATGATCATCTCCCTCATCTGTCTGTCCATGTGCATCTTCACCTTCTGGTTCTTCAGTGAGATCCAGAGCACCAGAACCACCATCCACAAGAACCTGTGCTGCAGCCTCTTCATGGCCGAGTTCATCTTCCTCGTGGGGATCAACATGAACACGCATAAGGTGAAGCTTCCGGATGAACCCGGCGAAACAGAGGAAATCTGCTGTTTGTGTTGGAGTGTGTGAGCGCCACTGTTCTGTTCTGTCGTTTTATTGATTAAAACCCTTCTCATTTGTACTTTTACCACTTTCACTTGCTTTTTTTTGGTTAACAGAACAACAACAGAATGGTTTCTGTTCATCTCTTTGACATGAAAATGCTTAAATATCAGCACTACATCTCAGGAATTAGGCTAAACAAACACATATGACAATTCTTACGTGAAGGGATAAAATAACTGTGCTTTTACACAATCTCTGTCTCTATCTCTCCTCTATCGTCTCTCTCTTGGCAGCTTTTCTGTTCCGTTATCGCAGGGCTGCTGCACTATTTCTTCCTCGCGGCCTTTGCCTGGATGTGCATCGAGGGCATCCATCTGTACTTAATAGTGGTTGGCGTCATCTACAACAAAGGCTTCCTGCACCGCAACTTTTATATCTTCGGCTACGGGAGCCCTGCGGTGGTGGTGGCCATCTCGGCAACGCTCGGCTCCCAGTACTATGGCACTGATAAAGTGTAAGTGCAAAAAGAGGTGGGAAGACAAAAAGTTCTTATACAAACACCTATTTGTCAATTTCATTCAGCATTTTTTCAGAGAAGAAAGATAAACAAATGACATTAATTGTAAATACATGGGGACAGAGATTAAATGTGGCCTGCAGGGACATAAAGGAAGTAGAGGATGCTTGGACGGCCTCGTAAGGTGATAATTAGTGTAAAAGAAATTCTGAGAGGTTTTGGGTACCGTGGAGAGTTTGAATAGAAGTCTATAAATAGCAGTAATTTTTTTGTTTATTAATGTAAAATATAATTAAAATTATGCAAAAGAAGTGCTGATTGTTCATTCCCGTGAGCAGAGGTAGCTTTTTCTAACCAATTGTTTTTGTGCTTGTAAAATAAGTAGGCTATGTATTAGCCCATACAGTATTGTCATAATTAAGATTCAGCTAGATTAGACTGAATACAAATGACGGAGGGCAATGATGCTGCAGGAGGGATTATTGCATCTAAAAGACACATTCAGTCAATAAAAGTGTTTGTTTTATAACACAATGATTTGTGTTACAGGTGTTGGCTGAGCACAGAAAACCACTTCATATGGAGTTTCATTGGGCCGGCATGTTTGATCATTCTGGTAAGATCTAATAATGACTGTTTAAGTATTAATTGGAATCAACAAATAGGGATTGTTTCAAAGATTGATACCTGCTTGTTTGTCAAGCTTGTTGTCATGTTTGTTTTGGTCGGTTTCCCCTGAAGGTTAATCTCTTGGCTTTTGGAGTAATCATCTACAAAGTGTACCGGCACACTGCTGTGAAAAAGCCGGAAATCAGCCACTATGAAAATATCAGGTGGGATTATCTGTACTCTTGTTGAGGTCAAAAGAATATGAAGATCAAGCTGTAATTTCCTCATTGGATTAGAATGGTTTCATGTGGTTGTCCTTGTAGTATCTTATTACAATTAGTTGTTTGACTTAAAATTAAGTTTTATTTTTTGCAATCTCTCTGTTAAAGTCAGTTTCATCACCCTCAGGTCCTGTGCCCGTGGTGCCTTGGCTCTGCTGTTTGTGCTGGGAGCTACCTGGACTTTAGGAGTTGTGCACATCCTCAATGAGACCACCCTCACTGCTTATCTCTTCACCATCGCCAACGCCTTCCAGGGCATGTTCATCTTCATCTTCCTCTGTGTCCTGTCCAGAAAGGTAACCCTGTGGTCTCTTGGATTTACTTTTCTAAGATGTATCTATGTATTCAACATTCATTGTGTGGCTATAGTTGGACCGTGAGCTGTTCAGATCAAGACAATGGAAGTTAAACCGCTAGTGAGCATCATGATAGTATGTTGATAGAAAGGAAATATACAATCCCTTTGCCATTTAGAAAATGTAATTACAATATGTTATATTAGGTGAAGGAAGAAGCACGAAGATTGTTAAAGTAGCAATATCACAAAGAAAAAAAATACTCCATTACAAGTAAAAGCCCGCCTTCAAAATCGTACCTACAGTAAGTCAAAGTACACAACTATTAGCAAATTACTAACTAAATTAAAATAATGAAATAGTAAAATAGCCCCATTCAAAGTGTTATATTTATCATTTCTGTATTGTTACATTTTGAGCAGAAGAAAAGTAAAATGTTCCCCTCTGAAATGAAGTGAGGTAAAGAAATAAGGATTGATGAAATGTAAATACTCAAGTAAATCATGATGGTATTTAAATACTATATGTTTTTTATCTAATTCTGGCCTTCTTGAATGTGTCGTTACAGATTCAGGAGGAGTACTACAGACTTTTCAAAAACGTGCCATGTTGTTTTGAATGCCTGAGATGAAGTAACGCGAGCTGAGCCTGATCGCTTGTAAAATAATAGTCGACACTACAGCTTTGCAATATCCTGTGACTCATGCTGTCAGTTTAAAAAAAACAATATGGGAGGAAAAAACAGATGTCTAACAAATGAGAACACGCAGCACTTATAACTTCTAAAAGTCTTGTTTCCCCTTTTAAAGACTGCTCTATGCATCAGTAATTCAAAAACGTTTTTCAGTTTAATTCAACACCTTTGCAGTTAATGGTATTACTCTTCAAATAACATAGTTTGTTGTCTCTGTTCTTTTCTGGTGTTTGAAATTTATTTGTAAATTATTAAAATATAAATGTGGCAAACTAACACATCTCTGCTGCTCACTTTTTTGTGCAAAATCAATATTCTTCACCTCCCTTTTATGAACATCAGAGTGTTGAGGATATTTGAATTGTCAGGATCGTTTCACACGATGGCCGTGAGGAAGGTCAACGTCCCCATCTACTGGACATAACGAGGAACCACATATGACACACAAAGAGCTGGCTACACTTTAATATATCCATCTTTATTATATGCGCTAGCTCCCCTTTGTGTATTTGTTCATGTTTGTAGCATGTTGGTCCATATGAGCTGTGTCGTAGCCCTTTAAGGCCTTGTGATACTGGCCTGTACAGAAATAGATAGTGTGGTTGTGCCTTTATTTTCCTGCTGTGTTTTTGCCTTATTGCAGCAATCACCAAGCCATCTTCTGGGCTGCAGGGTATTTACTTTAAGAAGCCATGTGTTGAACAACAAACAAATTCTTTCAAAATTTGTAATTTTTCTACACAGACAAAAGACACGTTTTCTCCATTTTTGTCCATTTGAGTATAAAGTTTAGTGTAGTAGTAGCAGCTTTGAATGTCTTGTTTTAACAAAAACAAATACAGGAATACAGGATTCACTGGTGTAGCCTGTTGTATGGCGACAAGACATAACAGTGAAGTAATAGAGATACATCTAGCTCTGAATAAACAGCAGTCAAAATAAACAGTTCAAGCGCGGTTTCAAGCAGTTTAATTCAAATTGACAAAACTATAGTATATCTGCTGGTCCTCCTCAAGGAGAGCCTGAAGGGAGAGAAGACAATTGTGCAGCACAGGGCGGCACCAAAGACCGATTATAAAAGTATTATCACTACTCACCTTATTTAAAATCAGCTTTTAACCTGTGAAGTTAGTTACGTATGTTTTTGTGCTGTTCCTTGCTGTTATGTTTTGTTTATATTGTAATTGCTTTTATTGTTTCATTTTTTTTATCATGTAAAAAGTGTCTTTGAGTACTTTTTAAAGCGCTATACGAATAAAATGTATTATTATTATTTAAGGCAACCACACCCAAACTACCAGCATGCACCACTCCACTGAAGATGCAGGTGCCACACCACACGAAACAGCACCCAGTGCACACTCGCTGCCACCAGGTAACCCTACAGAGGGACCAGCGTTAGTTTTAACTTAATATATTTAAAAACAGGCAGCATTAACAAACGCAAACAAAACCTAAAAGATAAATTATATAACATAAAATAATTCCAGTTTCACATCCTCTGACATATGGACATCAATAAATACCAGGAGATATAATATTTAACCTAGATGGTAAATTAAATACTTGCATTTGTGTAGTCTACCAACGACTCAAAGCGCATTACACATGTCATCATTCACCCATTAACACATTGACACACTGGTGGCAGAGGCTACCATGCAAGGTGTCGCCTGCCCATCAGGACCCTAAACTAATTCCCATTCATTTATACATTTACCACTTAAGGATCAATTTGGCGTTCAACGTCTTTCCCAAGTGTCCTTTAACCAAGGACTAGAGGGGCTGGAGGTAGAACTGCTGATCTTCCGATTGGAAGACGGCCCACTCCACCATTGAGCCACGGCCCTGTACAGGAAGCCATATAAGGGTGCATGTCCTCCAGGAATAGCTCAGGCTATTCACTTCACGAACAGATCGATCAAGTAGTACATCAACATTTCACAGCATACATTAGCAGAACATTTGTTAATCTGGTGCAAATTACCATCATAAAACTACTGTCAATCGTAGAGTAGAATGTGACGACATGTTGGCCGAGAGACATTATAAAGCCATGACTTCCCTCAGGAAGAATTACAACTGTATATTGGAGTGGGGAAGGCTGTGTTGAACCAGCTTTACTAAGAATAAATACCCTATCTGATTTATATGATAACTTAAAATCACTCCATGTATCTTACTCTAGATTTCAGTGTGTACCTCAAACAAGATATGAAAGACAATGAAGCTTACCATTCAAGCTTGGCCTTTTCTTACCTCGTCTACCTTCGTCTTCCCCGAATTAATGAGATCTGCTGGATCCTAAAATCCCACCTCACTATACATGACTCGGTTTGGCTGACAAAGGTGCTGCTGAAACTTAGATCATGACACGATTAAACCCGACTGATCTTCAAAGGCTTTTTCTCCTCTTTGTTTGTCCTCAGAAACAAGTTTCTCAATTCAATTTAGGGATAAAAATGTGATGTTTGTGACCTCTAGTGGCTGTTGTTAAAATAAAAACCAGGAAAAGCAGATAGTCAGGTGATGTGAAGCCTGGGGAAGCAAGAGGTAGGATGGCTTATGTGTGATCACACCAGGGACTCTTGTGTTGTGCAATCCAAACATAACCCCGAAATACGGCATAAATAGACCTTTTTGGCTGATTGCTGCTCGGTGTCATCACCATCAAACTGCCAATATAAACAGGGCCGCTTGTGGAGACCTTTAGACTGCGGCACATTGAAGCATTGGCACGAAGAGCACTGATTCACCACACTTTTGACTTTGTTGTATCCAGGAGGAGAGCTTTGTGATGCCAGGGGACACTTTATAGATTTTAATACCGGGAGTTGCTCCAGATATTCAAGGAGCAAAAGAGTAAACCAGCTGCTCTGCCTTCACTCCACGTGGCTGGGTTTCACTGAGCGAATGCCGAACCCGCTGGGTTCATCCCTTCATTCAGCTGTGAACAATTTGTTTACTTCATTTTCTGACTGATTACAAAATGAGGTTTCAGCTTTATTATTTCTGTTTTTTAATTCAAAACAAGCTATGTTTTGACTTCTGTGCATTGGTGGAATGTTCATTTACTGAAGTATTCAAAGTTCTTGTACTTTTATACAAATATTTGTACTCAGAGGCAAATATTTTACTTTTTGTCTGACAGCTTTAGTTAATTTCCAGGTTACAATTTATCATCTCCTTTCTGTTCAATTAAAATCACGTATCTCCAAATTTGGTGATTTTCAATTTTCCTGATAAATTGAAGGACGAAGTGTTCCTCTATGTGTAGAAAAAAATGATCCTGCTTCTTAAACTAAATAAAGTATTTAAATAATCAGGTGGAAAATGAAAAGTGAAAAAGCTGAAAGCAGGGCTTTTTTTCTGAGCTGCAAACACATGATGATCTTATAGAATTTGATGCAAAGCTTTAAATTGTACTTAATGTTGCAGCAATATTAATCTCAACACACCATAAATAGTAACACTGACACTGAGCATTTTACTGCGCAGTAAAAGTACTTTTACTTTTGCTACTTTAAGCTGATTTTACTGATAATACTTAAGTAAGGTTTTGAATGGAGGACTTTTTCTTGTAGTTGGGTGCTTTCACTTTGTGATATTATTACTTTTAACGGATCTGAATACTTCTTCCACCACTGGTTCCGTGTTGATGTGAGGAAGAAGCACGACAGAAATTATAAAGCACAATCAAAAAGTTAGAAAATTCAGCAGAACTATCACAATAGCTTGTTTATTTTTGGCTTTGGCGATCAGTGCTGTGCTGTGGGACATTGATTAATGCTACATACTTGTACAAATACACATAAGAAACGGTTACCTGACACATATTACTCATCAAGCTCTAGCGTAAGTTCAGACAGGAAGACAGGAAGACTATATAGGCGTATACTATACGCCTAAGCCCATATAGCTTATTTACCATACATCTGCCATCACTCCTCATGCAGGCACACTCATTATTTCCTGGCTGTTATTGTTCGGGGCTGTCAATCATATCAGCTGTCTAGATCAGCTGGTCTCTCTAGCCAATAGCACAACGACACAAGGACATCGATCGATCTATGTTGTTGCTGCTCAGGGCAATCACAACTGGATCACAAATCTCCTTGTTGAGTTCAAGCGCCAAAGAATTTCTGTGTAACTCATTAACGCAGCATCTGTCATAATACATGTTAACTACTAATCATTCACTTGTCTCTCCTGATTGAAATGTCACTGTGACAATGTCGCAGGTCAACATGGCTCTATTGCAGATAGCGTGTGTTTACTTCTAAACCAGACCTCTGTCCTGATGACCAGCTCTCACTGAAACCAGTTTCCACCACCAAAACACTCCCTGGTATATATATACAGGACAAATCTGACATACTTCCTTCACCTCCTCAGTTTCAACATGTGGGGGCTTTTCCTCTGCTGCCTTGTTGCGCTGGCCAGTAAGTTTTCATTGATTCATTCATCTTAATTTACCTGTAGAAGGATTTCAAAATCCAGCTTCATAATTCTTTTCCGTCATTTTAAAAATGACTCATAATCCTGAGGTTGATTAAATACATTTTTGCAATTGTGATTTATTTCACCATTCAATGACAAATATGCTTTTTAAAAATGGATATCATGACAGGAAATGTATGAATCTTTTTGCACTTGCTTAATCATGAATGACCTTTAGAGGTGAGTTATGATCACGTATAGAGTAAGGTGAATTTTACTTTTGCCATTGATCTGTTTTTGTCGTATTAAGTTCACATGGATGTTTTCTTTTAGATTTTTACAAATCTACTGTTTTTTTCCTTCATGTCTTGTGCCTGTTTTTTGTCCCCTGGATTAGAGTGTTTTGTAGATCATAAATAATTAAAATTAAAAAACGTTGCTGATATATTCACAAAGGTGGTGATGCTATGTTTTGATTTGTTTTCCTTTAGCAAGCCAAAGTGTCCATTACGGTGAGTCTTTTATTCATCATCATAAAAGTACAAAACAATATTTTCCCAAAACGTTCCGTAAGGAAGGAGTGAAATGACATTTCATGTTGGAAAATGATTCCAGAGCTCGGCCTGAACCCGAAGAAAATATACGAGTACAAATATGTGGGAGCTGTGAATTTTGGACTCGGTATATCAAACCTTGCTGAGTCTGCTACGAGAATCTCATGCAAGATCAGCATCGTCGGTGCGTCTGAGAAAACCTTCATCCTGCAGGTGAGAGTGACAATAGAGTGTAATGCAAACCTTCTCCGAATGTGTTGTTTAAACCTGTTACTGAGTAGCAAAAACAATGACAGGTCAATTAGCCCTGATTCATGTCTGATTCATCAATCAAGTTAAATAAATGCTTCATTTATCATTTATTGAGATCTCATTAATTCTTTGGAGGCCAATTTAATTAACATCTGTTGGAAAATAACTTTTCGTTGCGTAAATAATGTAGAGTTCTTTGTAAACCACCTAATAAGTTTGAGCTTTTGTGATTCTTAATGAAAGTGCTGAACATCAGGGCAGCTACAAATGTTTGCATACCAACAGATGATGGTGCATTTATAATTCTTGTCCTTTTTATGGTGGTTTACAAATGTCACCTCTGTTTTATCTGACATAGAGAATTAGAGAGATTTCCTGTTGACTCGCTACAAATACTTGAGAATGTGGCATATGAGCAATACCAATTTTTCATCTCTGATTTAAAGGTTTCAGACTTTGCCTTTGAAGATTTCAATGGCATCCAGGGAAGGAACACATTTAACGCCTCCTCAAAGCTCACCCAGCGTATTGCTTCCCAGCTCAGCAAACCCTTCGTGTTTGACTACGACAGCGGACACGTTAGTAACATCCGCACCTCTGTTGAGATTTCTGACACTATTGTCAACATTGTGAGAGGGATCCTGGGTTTGTTCCAAGTGACTGTGAAGACCACACAGATCATCTATGACCTTGAAGAGGTAAGTCACTTCTGACAAATAAGCTCTTCTCTGCAGTATAAATATAAGATAAATAAAGAAATGCAATAATGTTTGATTCTGTTTGTAGGTTGGCATCCATGGAAATTGTCAGAGTCATTATGCTACTGAAGTAAACCCGGCAACAAAGGACATGACCATCACTCAGGTCGTGGATGTCAATAACTGCAGGGAGAAAGCAGCCATCTACAGAGGAATGGCTACCGCTGTGCTCGACGAAGAGGCCAAAGCAGTCTGTTTATCTCATCTGCTTCTTGTTCTGCAACTAGAAATGAAACAGACCGAAGTCGGTGCTACTTTTTGTTTGTGTGTCCTCCAATCTAGAGAGGCGAATCTATCGTGTCGACCGTGAGATGTGTTTACACAGTCAAGCCAACAGCAGACGGAGGTCTCATCACCTGGGCTCGTGGCCTGGAGCAACAGCACTTCAGTCCCTTCAACGTGAAGGGCGGCAACTTCAAGATGGAAGCGAAGTAAGACATATGCACATTACGCCCGCTCATCCACAATAATTGTCGGCTGTACAAATCATCTGCTTTAATATAACCTCGCCTGCAGGAACGAACTGGTGCTGCTCAGCGTGAATGAGACAGCGAAAGCCGCCACGTTTGGGTCAATGCAAAGCAGGGGAGACCTTGTGTTTAAGTTTGTCAATGCAGAAGCCAATGTCCCCATTATGATGCAGAACCTGGACGACCCAGCCACAAAGGTAATAAGGATGCACTGCTGCTACAAATTTTTTTTATCCAGAAAGCCGCAGGAAGCCCTGTAAAAAACACACAAAGTTAATTCAAAATAAATATAGAAATAACAGGAAACACTTAAACGAGAGCAGTGAAATTCCTATTTATTATGAAATTAAAAAAAATCCTGTTCTGAAATCAACTATTTCTTATAAAGTAAAGTCAATCGAAGGAGATTGAATAATTTGTGCACAGATGACCTAATTCTCGAGTGGCATACGAACACTAATCAAGGAATCATCATGTCTGTTCCTCGCTACAGGCTGCGGAGTTGATCAAGCATCTGGCGGAGGTCAATCGTTACCAGATTGACAGCGCAACATCTGAGGACACTATAAAGCTGTATCAACTCCTGCGAGTGATGCCTTATGAAGGATTAGAAGTTTTGTGGAAGCAATTTGCAGGAAATGAGGAGCAGAGGTGAGTACTTGGTTAGTGGTTCACCAGTGATGAATAACAAAGACGCAGACAGGGATTCAATAAGCACTTCATATATTGAAAATTTAATATAAATTTCAGATGTCAAATGGAAATTCAAAACATATATGAAAAGGCCATTTTTTTTAATATTTTGATATCAGGATAATATTTAAAAAGTCTTTGGGTCCTTGAAACTGACGTCCCTGTCGCTTTCTTTTGCACAACCAAACGTCCTACGGATTACATTGATATGTGATTGTTAATAATTTGAGGAAAATGTAAAGCAGCCCAGATCATATCCACGTGAAGTCATTTTTACAAAGTGAGGAATAACAATTTTCAGTCCAGGAAGAATTGTGAAGGCCATACAGTACAGCACAAGGTCATGCTGTGGAGGTTGGGTGGTGCATGGAGCTCAGACGTCTGATCCTTCACTAACCTTGAAAAAATGATTTCAGCTACTCAAACGTGACTTTACCCAGAAAGGTATTAATTCAGACATGATTTCATTCAGCGTGTCTTTGTACTCAGTGAGAACACTGCAGCAACATTTGAAAGGGAAATTCCTTCGTTGATAACCTTTAACTGAGCTTTTCATTATAGTATTAGAGGAACAAAATAGTCAATGGCCATCTCTCAAATCTGATAGTGATTCACTCAACTGAATAGTTAATTGAAGAGCATCCTCCCACTTAGTTCAGACGGGATTTAGTCTGGCACATTACCATCGATGAATGATTTATTATCATGTGAGGCATGGTGACAGAAAGGTGATGACTGACAGCCCGCTTTCCTCAATCGTTTAGATTAAGGCCGTAATCGACAGCTTGTATCTCATCCTGTACAAGTGCAATTAAACGTGACATCTGAACTTGTCCTTCACACTTTTATCTTTTCATTTTTCCCTCTTTACTACGGAAGATTCTTATCTTTAGTACTGTCTGATTTGTCCATTTCCTCCCCTTTCACTAATAATTAGACGCTGGTTTTTGGACGTGATTGTTGAAGTCAGCGATGCCAGAATCCTGAAGTTTTTTGAGACGAGGTTCCAGGCTGGAGATTTGTCTGCAAATGAAGCTCTGCAAACCCTGGTGGTGGCATTTAACCATCTCCAGGCTATTCCTGATCTGGTTGAGATGGCTAAAGTGAGTTAATGCTAAAGACAGAGAAATTGCTTGCGAGAGAGATGCGTAATGACTACAAAGAGACTCCAAACATCAAAAAGAGGCTACACATCTGTATAGTCTTTGTGTCCTGCTCCTGTAGAGAGGTGGTGTTGCCTTTTGCATGTCTGTGCCCAGGGGCCCATTGTCTCATTACTACCACACAATGATACCAGTTCATCTCTAAATATTTCTCTCTCTTTTACAGATGTTCTTGAACATGCCCTTCTCTAAATCCAATGTCTATTTGTGGAATACTGTGGTGCTTTCCTATGGCTCTCTGGTTTACAAGCACTGTGCCTATTATACACCTTGTCCTGTGGCTGTTGTTCAGGTAATCAAATCACTTCGCTTTGTACCATCATTTTATTTGGTATGTGATGAGAACAAGAAGGCTGTCTGGGTAGCATCAAGAAATTATTTGTGAGGAAAAATCATATTGTAGTCAACAACTTGTTGAACATCTGTTCTAGCCACTGCTGGACATGGCCGTGGAAAGTCTGAGGAATGGCAACCAGACCAACATGGTCCTCGCTCTGAAAGCTCTGGGGAACGCAGGTCATCCAGGCAGCATTAAAACCATCATGCGCTTCCTCCCCGGAGTTGCTGCCACGCCTGTGGATCTGCCACCTCGTGTGCTGAGTGCCGCTGTGCAGTCTATGAGACTCATAGCTGCCAGAGACCCTCACAGTGTAACTATATATAACATGCAGGAATAACACTTTTTTTTTTACCAGCTATATGCTAGGTTTTTGAAATAAATCATGTTTATGGTAATTACATGCGCTGTGCATGTCCATAGTCAAGTTGAAAATGTCATTTTCTGATAAGGTCAGATTCAGATTAATTATCCATTTACACAAAAACATCAAACTATTCTAATCCTGGAAAGAACATTTAATTTCCCTCATTGTGGCAGGTAAGATTAGCTTCAACCATCATGTGAAAATGGCAAGTGATTCATGCTACTGTCACATTATACTTACATTTTGGTTTTGCATAATCTTCTCCATATTTATATCTACAACAATTTCAGTAATCAGCCTTGTTAAAGTTCATCGTCGGTTCAGAAAAAACAGAAAATCAGAACAGTGGGCGATTGATCTGCAATCTTTCTGAACTCCTCATCATTATAATACTTGTGTTTCCAGGTCCAAGACATTGCCATGAGTCTGTTCCTGCAGAAGAACCTTCCCACTGAGATTCGCATGCTGGCATTCATGATCCTGTTTGACTGTAAACCATCAATGGCTGTGGTGTCCATAGTGACTGTACATCTACAGGAGGAAAAAGACCTCCATGTTGTTAGTTTTGCATACTCCTACTTGAAAAGCCTTTCCAGATCCAGTACTCCCAACAACCACGTCCTGTAAGTAAAACAATGCAATAATAACCACCTGGGTGTAATTGTTTGAGTCCCATCATCTCCAATGTTCTCCAGCTTTTTAACATTCATTTTTTTTTTTGTGTTCTCTGAAATAGCTCAACTGCCTGCAATGTAGCCGTGAAAATCCTGGCTCCTAGATTTGGCCGTTTCAGCTATCACTACAGCAAAGCAATGCACATGGACTGGTTCAATGGTATGTTCAAATATAGACTCTTGGATTTCCCTGAAACTGTTACATGACTTACAATTTGTTTTTTCCACGATACAGATGATTTCCTAATTGGTACAGCCACAGAAGTCTTCATGCTGAGAAGTGCAACGAGCATCTTTCCTACAGAAATCATGATGAAAGGAAAATTGTATTTCATTGGTAGAATTCTGGAGCTAATGGAGGTACGTTGTTTTGCATTAAAGATTTCATTGAAGATCAAGTGTCGAACGGTAATCATCTCTTCTCTTTATGCCGCAGTTGGGTATCCGTGCTGACGGACTCAGTGCGTTGTTTGGTGACCACATCCCTGGTTTTAAAGGAGATCTTAGTTTCAGTGACTTTCAGGCTATTCTCAATGTGGTGAGTATAACGGCAGCATCATAACTGTACTTTAATGTGTCAGATTAATTTGTTTGTGTGACCATTGTGTTGTATCATTTTCAGCTTCAAAACTGGGAAATTCTGCCCGACGATAAGCCCGTCCTGACTGCCTATTCACGGGCCTCCGGACAAGAGTGGTTCTTTGCTGATCTCAGCAAAGAGACCATCAAGAACATTATCAAGGTGAGAGAATAAGTGAGAGACCATTCAGTCAACAAAACAGCCCATGTGTGTACAAAGCCTGTTACATGCTCCTGCAATCCTACTTGTAGGACGCGAGTCATTCTGCAGAGAAAGGGAGTTCTCTGTGGGCCGCAATTGAGAAACTACAGAGGGGAGTGTCATGGCATTGGACAAAGACTTTCTTAATCCTTGAGGTTCGCTACTTCCAAGCTACCATCCTGGGTTTCCCACTGGAGATAAGCAAATATTATAAGTCCATCAGTGGAATCACTGTAAATGGTAAGGAGTCAAATCCTACAGCATACAACACCTTACAAACCATATTAGTATTGATTATTGACTCAAACAAATGATGTTATTTGATCTTAACCATTAATAAAGTATTTTTTTTCCTACATAGCCACAGTCGCAGTAAATCCACCAATGACTGACCGTCTTGGACAACTGTTAACTTCTGAAATTTCACTGGAGACTGATGGTTTTATTGGGTAAAATATTGAATGTTCATTTAATTGAAAGAACGCACACTTTCATCATGTTTAGCAATTATCATAGAAAGCAAACCAAAGTGCTTTCTATCTATATTCATTCTGTGGCATTACAACCACTGAATTAACCTTTTCTTTATTAGTTTTACAAAGGATTTATGGGTTTCCTACGGAATCAACACAGAGCTGTTCCAATGCGGTTCCGAGTTCAAAGCCAAAGCACCTCTTGCAATCCCGTGGAAGTTTTCTGCCAAGATCAACGTCGCAGAAAAGAAGTTTGCACTCGACTTCGCTCCATGCAAAAAAGAGTTTGATCTTGTTTCAGTCAGGTATGTATCATTTTTCCCGGTCACCGTGGGGTCTGTCTGACATTGAATCCAGCACCGGGTCCAAGCTCACGCTCGACTCCTTCACTTATCCACTAGTCACTAGATGATGCTAGCGATACGGTGCGTGGGACCACGTGGTTTCACATTAGAGTCATGATTTTGAATTAGTTCCAAATTCCAAAGCTCAATTTTCGTACGTCAATCATAACATCATGGCTCCTCCTCCCTAACAAAATGGCGGGACTGTTCTGCGCTAGCAAAGTAGAGCACCAATTTCTTCTACTTCCAGTTATTTTACATACTGCAACTCAGCAGACCAAAAACATGAGTGAATGGTCTGTCTTGCACTGCCCTGGAGTAAAAAATAGTGCCCCATACCTATTTATTGACTCACGAACCAACGTCAAAATTAAGTTCAACTGAATCCAATTGTGACAATAAGAATCCAAATCAACAGCACCCAGTAATAGAATAGTGGTTATGTTGTACAACTCTGCTGTTAAAGGAGCAGTGTGTAAGACTTAGTGGCATCTAGAGGTGAAATTGCAAATTCCAACCAACTGAACACCCCTCCTCTCATCGCTCCCTTTCCAAGCGTGTTTCAGGTATCATGAAAACATGACAGGTCATGGCTGAAACCGGTGTTTTGTTTGTCCATTCTGGGCTACTGTAGAAACATGATGGCGCAACACAGTGGACTCCATGAAGAGGGCCCGCTCCGTATATAGACATAAACGCTTCATTCTAAGGAAACGAAAACACAACGATTCTTAGTTTCAGGTCACTATACTAATGAAAACAAAGTTATGAAAATATATTACATGTCTGCCAATTAATCCCCTTTAATCCTACACACTGCTCCTCTAACAATGCAGCCAATGTGCCAAGTCCAGAAGTTCTTATTTTCCTTTCCAACAAACAGCTCCAATGTGTACGCAGTCACCAGGAACATCGGAGAGCCAGACTTGGCTAAAATGACTCCAATAATACCAAACTATTTTGACTCCAATGATGAAGTCGTCCCCACGGGCCCCACAGTTGTGACACCTGAGTCAGATCAGGTACAGTCAAAAACCTTTGGCAGATTGTTGTTAGAGTTGAACTATTTAATCTTTACAGAACTCAAAGTAGATTGATGTCTTTGTGATTTCCAACCAATCCAACAGCTCCCGACAAGAAACACCTGGCAACGAAGAGACAAAATGTGTGCTGAGAGTAACATTTATGGAACTGGTCTGTGTGTGGAGTATAAGTTAAGGAGAGAATATTATCATGAGGAATACCCCCTGTACTATTTCCTGGGATACACCCACATGGCATTCAAAGTAGGACCAGGTAAGCACAACAGGTCCAGCATGTCATACAGTACTGCGCTATCCAAAATAACATCCTTACATATGGCCACGAGAACATAACAAATATTTAGCAGTTCAGGTAAACTGCTCGTGTCACACTGCTAAACTTACATGAGACACAATAAACACCCAAGAGTGATGTCACCGTGTACTGACACACCCTGGAGTACATGTTTACATCACTACAGCAAGTTAAACTCCTGGAGGGCAGCAAAAACAAGATTTTGAGCGGGTTTTAAGTTACACTTTAATTACTGTTTTTTACTAATAATTTTTTTGGTTTTGCATTATTACGAAAGTAAAATAATATTTCGCTATGCTATTGTATCAGCCTGTCTACATTTCTATCTTTACTCTTTGCCAAATGTAACCCGTGCACTTTTATCAGCCCAGGCAAACAACGCTGTTGACAAAATCCACTTTGAGGTTAATGCCGGCCCGAGCAGCCTTCCAGTCAGCGGAATCCAACTGCTTGAGACTCTGAGGGGGCTTTCCAAGGTATTTGGCTACCCTTGCAATGTTATTATCTGTGCACCTGCTCCGATGTTTTATCCATTCCAATTCTCTTGTTGCTTAATTTTGTTTACAGGGAGCCACCCAGCAAGAAGGTCTGTCCTCTGATTCAGCCTTAAGCATCAGATCTCATCACAGCCATCATGACAACTTAATGGAAGTAATGGAAGTATGCTAAACACGCTCCACAGAGTGACCCAGAATGTGGTTCACTGCAAAACAATATGCATAGAGTGCACTGAGCAGTGTCATCATGTAAAATCGTTCAGCTGTGCTAATGATTCATGATTCCATCACCCCGGAAACATTATGGTCCATGTTAAGACTGCAGCTATTTGTGTGCATAAAAATACTCCATAAAAAAATGTTGTTCCCCCGAAATATACAGCAGATACAGGTTTTTTTTATATCCACACATGAAATCAATTCTCTGAGCATGTTGGACATGATGTACACGAACCCCTAACAAACGACTGGACTGCTTTCTATCTCATTCAATAGGGCAGGAATTCAACACCCGAAGCTGTGTTCAATGTCAATGCCTTTGCCATTAGTGGCAACAACAAGCCCGAGGGTTACAATGCAGTCTTCTACAACACACCCGAGGCAACAATTAGAAAAACCCAGCTGATTGTGTCCCAGGTTGGAGAAGACACCAACTGGAAGATGTGCATCGACACCACTGTGACGCCCCATGTCGAGGCAAAGGTAAGGTATTTAACAAATAACATTATATTATCATAATATATCAGTAATTTCCCTGAGAAGACTAAAACTAGCCTTATCCTTTAAAAAACAATTAAAAAAACATGAACCAACAACATATATTATACAGTCCTCAAAATACACTCTTTCACCAAAGTTATCCCATCTCACATATTTAATGTGTGCAACGTCTCTTCTCTTTATGTATGTTAAGGTTCCTCTTAACTGCATGTCACGTGGATACAAACATATACTAGTGCTTTAAATTCTTGCTTTAATATCATTCTCATGGCAGCATTGTAAGTGACAGTGACACTGTAGCATCTGCATACTGCAAATTTAGCCCAATAAATCTGGTACACTACACTGTTATAAATGCATTCAAAATCACAGTTCTTTGTTTTATTATATTGCATACTGAGGCCAAAGCCAAGTCTTTTGTTTGTAGAGACTCCCATCATGATTGATCTCTTGTCTTTGGTCTAGGCAAACATTAGATGGGGAGCTGAATGTCAGTCCTATCAAATGTCAATAATATCTGCAACTGCACACATGCCTGGCGCCAGGACGACAATCAAGGCCAAAATACACTGGACCCGGATCCCAGAGAACGTGTCAGAGGTTTGCACAAGGTGAGCCTCAGAGGACTCAAGGTGAAGCGTGTATCAAGGAATATTCAATGTGAGGAGGAAGAGGAGATTGAGCTGAAGAATGACTTTGATCCACTTACTTTGCTTTACAGAGCATGGTGGGAACATGTTCTGTGTTTACAGTTATGTCACATACTGATTTTAACAAACAAAAATGTGTTATCTCTCCCAGATTTAAAAAGTACATTCCAGGTGTGGCTCTCCTTCTCCAATTCTACCAGAAACATGAGAAAAACGCTAAGCAGGAGATTTCTGCATCAGTCGTTGAATCCTCAGCAGACAGCATTGATGTGAAGATTAAATTCCCAGAGGTATTGGAGGAAACGTTCACTATTTATAAAGAAAACCTGTATTGACTGCAGTATGTATATGATTGTGTAATTGCTTTTGTCTTGTCATTAGTATACAGTCTACCGCCAGGCTATTCCATTTCCACTGCCGCCTGTTTCCAGGAGTTTCAACATTGACAACACAACAATAGACAACTTTGGACAAGCATAAAAACACGTGAGCTACATGAAACCACTTTGATTAAGCTTAATTAAATTTCTTCTTTTCTTTTTATAGATTCTCTAGAATGCGTTTGTGTGGATTGTGTTGACAGATTTCTATGCAAAGCAGATGTGTAAAAACAAGCAAAGAGCTGTGCAATTTTTGATTGCTTTTTTAAAATATGTTTTGTGCAGCAGAGAGACAACAAAGCCCAGATGGGAGCCAGATGCCTCTCTTTAAAGTGATAACGCTGCAACCAAAATCTCACCACCCTGATGAAAGTGGGAATCATGAAAAATGCATCAGTAATCCGCCAGATGTCACCAGTTTGGAAATAACCTGTAAAGGTCCTGATTTATTCATTATATAGCATGTTAATATTTGAACACCCTCTTTTGATAGAATATTGTGTAAATTCTTGCTTCTGTACCAAAATATTGTATCTTCGTAATTGATTTACTAAAGCTTGTTTCAGTAAGTTTTGTTCTTTTGCTCTCATTCTGTCAATATAAATCCAAATGTTGTGTTAAAACAGTGTAACCCACGATTACAATGCAGAGCAGCCATAACAACATTTAATGAGTCTCCACCAAATGCAGTTTCTGCTTATTAATGCATTACGAAAGATTAAAGAGCAGCTGGATTAAAGTTTCAATAGATCTTGTCATGATGTATAATTCAGAACCAAATGATTGATATACGGTATTATACTAACTGAGGTGTAATCTGAGCTCATCAATAAATATCACAAAATATTGTTATGATAGACAGTGATGAGCAGTACTGATGAAATCCCTGGAAATCCAGACCAAGGAAAAAAATCTCTTGTTTTATAATTAAGTGTCAACTTTGTCTGATGCTGAGTTTACAGCACTCTTTGCTTTTTCCAACAAAAACAAAAAGAAGAAAGGAAGCATTTGCACATTAAAATTGCCAATTCCATTTCTCCCTACAATATGTAAGAGATGGAGTGGAAACTGCACAAAACACAATCTGAACGCGGCTGGCAGGTTTTTCTACTCTACCAGCCAATTTGGCAACCAAAACGTTCTTTGTTAACAGGTCCTGTTATTCTCTAAATATCCCATTTGATTGTCTAAATGCTGAATGCTGTGACTGAGCTTTGGATTCAGCAAACTGGATCATAAATGACCTTTTTGGAGTGTTTCTACTTAAAGAGACAGATATTTACAAGGTCTGTGTGACCTGCTGTGTTTGTTTGGTCAACTCACCCAACAGAACTGTTTGCAGATATCAGCACACAGTGTCACAATGCATGCCCTTAAAGTTCACTGCCTCTGCCACACAAAGCACTCAGTGTCCTTTGGTGAAGCATGTCTGATGCGTATTGGACAGTTGAACTGCATACATTTAATATTCAGAGATCTGAAAGGAGAGGTATTACTTCGTATACGGATGAAAGGAGTTGATGAACAGTAATTGGCGCTGCTGAACCAAAAAACTCAACTTTGAGTCGTAACGAATGGGATGTGTCACCAGCCAAAGATAATGATTGCATCCTAACCAAAGACTGGTCGTCCTAACTACTCCTGGCTCCGCTTCTCCCATCTACGCTGATTTAGCCAGATGGTGTCGACTCACAGAGAAAAGACATCGCCATCAAAGGCTGCACAGGATGAGCACAATTATAATGGCACCATTATGTACCATTTACATCTCTAATATCCTGCGGGCTTTCAAGTGCCAGTTGACAGGCTGATTGCGAATCTGCTTTGCCTACGTCAAGATTCGCATCACCTCCTGTCATCTCGAGGACCAGGACACCCTGACCTTGTGTTGACAGTTGAAATCAGCTGCTTAGAAAGCATTAATAAATGATTGATCAGGTAATTTTGGAAGAGGAGTGATAGGCCATCCCTTCCTTTTGATTGCTGCTCACTCTGTGATTGTGACTTGCCTCACTAGGCAGAGTATACCAGCCCTGCTAAAAGCCGTCTGAGGGTAGCTGATAAAAAAAAAATAAACATGGTTACAGACATTTTCGTGCAATTGGAGCTATTACTCCATGTTGGAGGCACAATGAGTTTTATTCTAAAAATCCACCAATTCAACAAGCAACACTTCCATATAGAAAATGATTGGTGGTAGTTTTTGACACATAGTGTACTTTAACATTAGCATCAGTAGGGTTTTTTAAAAGATGCTGTAAAATCGAACTCCTGAAATAGTCCTGTTATTTGGCATTGACAACAAGGGAGCATAATCCAGTGCCGTGCATGTTTGAGTGTACGTGTGTGAGAGTGTGAGCACTAGAGGACAGTGTTTACCAGACATTATAAATATGCCTGGCACAGTGCTAAAAGCTTGGCACCAGTATTTGGTCAGTTCACAGAGGGAGCTGTGCAGTGGATGTGGACATTTTGAGGATAAATAAACATGTGTCTTGGCATGGTCAAAGGGCTCCTGGAACTTTTTGGCTTGCAAATAGAGGACACATTGTATATTCAAACAGAAAAATAGAAAATAAAACAGTGTCTGACTGTTATTCTTTTCAAGCTGATGAAGGCAACAGCAAACTTTGTGAACCACATTATTATAGTTGTGCTTTTTTTTGGTTATAAACAGATAAGTATGGTTGATGTCCAGGGGATTTGCGCATACAGGTGTCATGGGCACTGTTATATAATAGTTTAAACAGATTTGTTAGGACCAAGTGGAGCTGGTTTGGTGTCAGGTGAAGATGAGCATTAGCGAATGATCAATCGGGTAATACGGAAGGGCCACAAACTGGATTGCTTTTCCACCAGCACACATGATCTGACATAAACTGCCCCCCCTTCTAATATAAGGTGCACTGAAACAAGGCTTGTGTGCAGGGTGAAATGCGAGTGGGCGAGACCCATCACATCACTGACATTACTAAGTGGGCACACCTAGTCACGGACACTTCATGAGACCTCCGGAGGGCTTAAAAATTGGAAATCACGCCTGCTGTTTCGACTTCCACTGAGCTCACATCATTTCACCATCACTCTCGCTAAATTAGCTTGTTGCCATGTTCCCTGATTTTATCAAGAAAACCTGTTGCTCTGCACGCAAGTATCTGTGCCATGGTTTCAGGAAAGAGCTAATTCATTTTTAGTCTCCACTCATGAGAAGCTCAGTATAGAACAACCCCACATTTGAAAACATTACTGTCATCTTAAGAATATGTTTATGAACAGGATCATGACTAGAGTGTTGTGTCAATATTGTAATAATGTGTGATTACCATGCTGTGTTATTGCTATAATTTTTGTACAGCAGCAGTGGTTGCAGCCTCTTTGGGGCTTAACAGAATTGCCAACTGAGGTCAGATGGGTGAAGCGAGATGTTCATGCCACGGGCTGTAAGAGCTGCTGTCTGCAACACACCGTTTCTACCCAGCCCGCGCATACACTGATCATTTCAGGAGCTGTAAGCTAATAAATGGTATATTACCAGCCCGAAGGCTACATCCATATTATTCCACAATAAGTGGAATATTCAATCTTAATACTCACATCGTTCAGCAGTGAACATTTAAAATGCTATGTGAATGTTAGCTCTTCATCTTTCTATTTAGGTAAAGCGCACATGATGCCACTTCACAAAATTCTGCAAAAATTAAAAGCTTACTCATGTATTCTACTTGACAAGTAACATAAAATGGACTAATTGTGTTGATTTATCTTTATTTAGATAGCAGGTGCAAGAAATGACATCGTGAAGTTTTGTTTGTTGAGAAAATAGTTGTTCAGATAGAGTTGAACAGAGCCGTTACCAGTTCATCAAACTTGTTTATTGTTAAGTAAAAACTGTTCCTTAGTGCCTGTGTGGAATTAGTGGTTTGCCCCGAGCTGCCAGACTTGCAACAACTGCAATGTTTTTGAAGTTTTTTTAATTGCATACTGAAATAGACTCCAGCCTTGTCCTGAAGAGGACACGAGGTATAGAAAGTGGATGGATAGCAAATTAGTGGTTTATATATTGAAGATTAGAACATAAGTGTTGTATTTCAAACCACCTTCTGTGGATCCATCAGATAATACACAAACTTTGGTTACCCAAAAAGTAATTAGAAATGTTTAAGGCTTCCAGAATTACACAAGACCTGTTTTTCTGCAGGCTGTGATTCTAATTTCAGGAAATGTAATGTTGTCATTATTAGACAGTGTAGAGGGCTTTAAAGGCTTTGACTGCAGGAAAGACACTGATGATTTTGAAGAGAACAGTTTATAGTCCCCATTCTGCCTCCGAGAGGCAGCGGAAGGTGATACGTTGATGAGAGATCGACTCTTTCGAGTGATGGATTAAACAGACCACAACAGAAACTAGATCATAGTTTTGTTGGAACAATGTTTCCCCAAAACTTGAGTATTTTCAACAGTTAAAGGTGATAAGCTAAATTCTTAATGCATAGTGCATTTATAAGATATGAGATAAGAAACCTTTATCAGCGTGTACAATTGGATGATTTAATGAAGATGATGAGGTCGAAACGCAACAGTTCAACAAAGTTGTTTCTATGACTGTAAGTGTTTTAAGCTGTGTAGTAAATTCTAATATCTTACTGTGTCTTACTGTGTTAATGTCTACTGAATCCTATCTATACACACCAAGTAGTTTTACTGTGGCAGCTTTTGCTTCTGTAATATTTGTTAGATTATTCTCAGCTATCTAAAAAAGGACATAAAAAAATCCATAAACCCTGCCAGCGGCCTGTAGTTGCAATGAAGCTCCTTGCCACCAACCTGAATAAGCCCAGCCTGACCTTAACCCTTACAATAACAATCTATAAAGGGAACACACACATACACACACACACATGCGCACTGTAGCTGGTGAGCATAGTGGAGTATTTAGTAGCAGCTGAAGACCGTGATTATAAATATTGGACTTACAAACAGACAGAAACACCATTTCAAATAAATGCTGCTGTTGCTCTGTGTCTGCTAAGATTGAAAATGGGTAAAGTTTGCTGACAAGTTCACCATATCAACTGAAACGGTAATAATATGTCAGTGTTGTGTTTACAGTTTATTGTTGCAGGTTTAGTTGATGAATAAGGATAATGTTTCCAAAACGACTAAATGAATTAAGCCAGCTAAATGCTGATTCCATGTTTCAAGAGTCTCATCCACATATTTGAAACATTTATCTGGTTTGGTTAATTGTTGTAGCTGGTCAGCCAATAGTTTTCATGGGAGTAACAGGAGCAATTTTCTTCACATTCAGGGCTGATTGGATAAACACTAACTTGGTAGGCAAAACATAATCTTTTGGTTCTCCAACATTGTAATTCTGTCTGATAGCACAGCAGGCAAAACACGTCAAAGCTTTAAATATCCATTACTCTCGTTGGCATCAGCGCTGTCTGTTTTAGGCCTTTTAACTGATCAGACATAATGACTACTTTTTACAGATGAACACAATGTAACTTGTAGATTTCATTCAATTTCCCCAGTAACCATTTTTGGAGCAGTTTTTAACAGAGGAG